TTTTATGTGAGTTTAGTGAAAACTGAGTACGAAGCTATTTATACTTTTTAAGAATAGCTGCCAAAAATGCCAACACAGTTCTAGGCTCACAGTTCAGAGGAATAGAATCAAGATCACGTGAAGTGTTAATACCACTTTATAATGCCTTGGTAAGGCCACACTTGGAATACTGCATTCAGTTTTGGTCACCACAATATAAAAAGGATGTTAAGACTCTAGAAAGAGTGCAGAGAAGAGCAACAAAGATGATTAGGGGACTAGAGACTAAAACATATGACGAATGGTTGCAGGAACTGGGTATGTCTAGTTTAATGAAAAGAAGGACAAGGGGAGACATGATAGCAGTGTTCCAATATCTCAAGGGCTGTCACAAAGAAGGGGGAGTCAAACTATTCTCCAAAGCACTGAGGGCAGAACAAGAAGCAATGGGTGGAAAGTAATCAAGGAGAGAAGCAACTTAGAACTAAGGAGAAAATTCTTGACAGAACAATTAATCAGTGGAACAATTTGTCTCCAGAAGTTGTGAATGCTCCAACACTGGACGTTTTTAAGATGTTGGATAACCATTTGTCTTAAGTGGTGTAGGGTTTCCTGCCTAAGCAGGAGGTTGGACTAGAAGATCTCCAAGGTCCCATCCAACTCTGTTAATTCTAACTAATCCAGCCTTATGCGTTTGGAAGGTGTGAACTTGACTTCTCAGATCAGTTTTTTGTTGAGAAAGCCATTACCCATTACATCCCTTCCTTGCCTTTTGACCTGTAGACCCAGAGTATCTTCACAAATAGCTTCAGCCATTTTCTGAAATGAATAGGATGTACATGCACAGCAGAAGTATTATTTGGGGGGTTCACATATTTCGATAGTTGAAAAAAAAAATTACTGGGTTTCGGACCATGTAGGTTTTCGCCACTAATGCAATGTAGATTTTCGTTAAGGAGAGAAAAGTCACAGCAAGGACATTTTGAAAGCCTCTTCACCCCAAATGTTGTGTATCAGTTATGGACTTTAACTCCCAGAATTCCCCAGCCAGCATGGAAATAAAATGGGAGTTAAATCTTGAAGCCTCCAAAGGCAAAACTAGCCTCAAAGTTTAACTCCATTTTATTTCCAAACTCTGTAATAAACTAGAACAATGTTTCTCTCCCTCAGCAACTTCAACAGGTATGAACTTCAATTCCCAGAATTCCCCAGCCTGAAGTAAAATGACATCCTTAGCCATAGTTGATCTAATTCTTTTTTCTGCCCGTAGATGCCTCTGCAGCAATAGGAATAGCCCGTATTCCTTACTTGTGTACCATTAAAACTGGCTGCTTTCAAATTAGACATTCTGGATTGACTGTGCTGGATTAACTTTCTGGAAACAACTCTTCCTTCTTCTTTGCCTGCCATCTTAACTTGCCTTTGCCTCCTTCTGCTCCCCTTCACCTCTTTTCCCTCACAGTGCCTTAGTGCCGAATGATATCCCCCTTCTGGGATTTCTCTTTCTCTCTCTCTTTTCTTCAGATAGCAAGACCAGGCCAGAAGAGGTTGTGAAGAAGTATTTGGAAGAGCTGAAGGCACCTCCAGTTGACGAGGTATGTGGAAGAGATGCACATGATCGGTTTATTTATCTGTATTTCACACATTTCTATACCGCCCATCTCCCTCAAAGAGCATTGCTGGATGTGTCATAGAAACCTACCTTAAAGCCATTTGAACATCTTCCCAGGTGTCAGTTACAGTTCTCATCATCCTCTTGGACTAGAAGACTTCCAAAGTCCCTTTCAACTCTATTCCATGTTCTAAAGTCCTACAGAGAGACGAAGCAGCCAAAGAAAATTTGAAAGACGCAACTTGTCCATGGGGAAGAGATTAATAAATGTTTCTTCTCTCCTAGAGCAAAATGACATACGGTTGTCTTAACAAGAGCCTTAATCTGGAAGGGGATGACTAGTTGTTACGTTGTTTTCAATTCCCAGAAGCGAAACCTGTAAACGAGGTTTGTTTGTTTTCCAGGACTGCATCATCTGTATGGAGAAACTGGGTGCCCCTTCAGGGTACAGCGAAGTCAATGAGAGCAAGACAATCCAACCTGGAAGCGTGGGGAGGCTGGCCAAATGTGCTCACACCTTTCACTTACTTTGTGTGCTGGCCATGTACACCAGTGGCAACAAGGTACAGTAGCAAGTGAGGAGGTGATTAGCTGTTGCTTATCTTGCTTCAAAGCACCAGGTGTGGATGCCGCAGTAGCCAACCTCACTTAATGATAAAGCTAGCCGTCTGGTGGCTGTCTTCCTATAGAGCAGTGAGGCTAACCTTTTATGTCACTGCGTGCCAGAAATGACACGCAAAACCATCCCGCTTGGATCACACAGCCTCACTGGCCTTCACGCTCGTGGGAGTGCCGAAACCTGGAAGAGCAGCATTCCGGCACGCACGTGCACACTGGCACCCAAACCTCCGGTTTCCGGTACAGGCGTGCACCCAACGAGCTGGCCGTCGCACATGCACACCGGAAACCCAGAAGTTTGGGTATAGGCACTCATATGCGTGCCGGAACGCTGCTCTTCCAGGTTTCAGCGTGCCGGCGAAAGCCAACTGACCAGCATGTGTGTGCACAGGAACGCGGAAGAGGAACCAGCAAGTCCACCTGCGCAGGAGTGCTCTGTGCTGCTTCGGGCATGCATGTTCGCCACCACGGCTATAGAGTTATTGTGCAGTGGAATCCAGAAACAATCATGTGAGGAATAGAAGTTTACTACCGTGTTTCCCTGAAAATAAGACAGGGTCTTATTTTCTTTTGACCTCTGAAATAAGCGCTTGGCCTTATTTTTGGGGAGTTCTTATTTTTGAGATGCAGGAGGCAGTGAGCGTGGTCATCTCATGGCTGCTGCTATGTTGTAATATTTTCAGGGGAGGGCTTATTAGCGCATGCGCTCAAAAGACCAATTGGGCTTATTGTCTGGGGAGGTCTTGTTTTCTGGGAAACAGGGTATTGGTATTCATGAAAGCAACCAACAAGAGCCTAACCTCTTCTGCCAGAGCTCCTCCAGGCATTAGAGAAAGCCAGAAAATTCTCCCTTTTTATAATGCTTCATGGTCTGGCTTTGGGGCTAGATGTTTCATCAGAAGCAGCAGTTTGATACTCCTACAACCAGTAGATTCCTTGGCAGTGAAAAAGAAAATTTAATAATAACTATCTTTTTTTAAAAAAAAAATGTAATAAACCACTTCAGTAAAAGACTATCAGTGGGTCATAGTGGGCAAAATGAAAAACAAAAGATGTAAAGATAGTATCTGGTACACCACTTGAGTGGTACACCTAGTATAAGCATGCATCAACTAGAATAGTGCTTGACAGGTGTCATGTAACCACTCTTGTTAAAGTGGGAGGAAGTATAATAGGGAGGCTCCTTTCTCATCAACAAAGCACAGGGGAATGGATGCTCCTTCTGGTTTGGAGGAAGAAGGTATTTTATATGAGAACCGATGCCAGGGTGCCCATATGTGTGTTTTGTATCCCTTGTCTGTGAAACGTGCTCATCGAGACAAAAGTCCTTTTGCTTTCATAGAATAAGAAGTAAGAAAGTAGCTTATTAGAAGCAGCTGTAGGTTGCCAGGGGCATCCAACATTTTGCAGGCATCCAATTCATGGGGGGGGCTTTATGCAGTCCTGAACGTAAAAAGGAGGAGAGGTTTCCAGAAATCTGTAGCTTGCAACAGCCCTTATTTTATGCTCCATTGTAACATTTTTTTTAAAAAAAAAATTCTGTTAGGATGGCAGCCTACAGTGTCCCTCTTGTAAGGCCATCTATGGTGAGAAGACAGGCACACAACCCAATGGCAGGATGGATGTTCACAAACTCCCAGAGTGTCTACCAGGGTACGAGAACTATGGGTCAATACAGATTACATACAATATTAACAGAGGCATTCAGGTGAGTATGTCCAGTGGTGGGATTCAGATTTTTTTTTTTACTGCCGGTTCTGTGGGTGTGGCATGCCTTGGTGGGCTTGGCAGGGGAAGGATACTGCAAAATCCCCATTCCCTCCCCACTCCCGGGGGAAGGATACTGCAAAATCTCCATTCCCACCCCACCCCACTAATCCGCTTTCCAGCTCCGTTCTCGTGTGCAGGGCAACAAAAGAAGACCCAGCTGATCAGCTGGGACTCAGGAGGCAGCGGGGCAGGGTCAACCAGAGGTGGTATTTGCCGGTTCTCTGAACTACTCAAAATTTCCGCTACCAGTTCGCCAGAACCAGCTGAATAACATCTATGAGTATGTTGTATGTACTAAAAGCTATCCTGAGGGAAGGAGATTGATGGTAAAGCAAAGTTAGGAAGCCCGAAATGATGCTGTAGGCCAGTCGTGGCCCGCGGGCCAGGGGTGTCATGTGCTGCCACCCCCGGTTTAGCAAAGGGGAGAGGGGAGTTGCGATTGTCACATGCCAGCGAGAGTTAGACACCTCTGCTGTAGATGTCTACAGCAGAGACCTGTAGTGGAGAGCTCTCTGCATTTCGAAGTGGGAGGTACTTGGCTAGGTGGGAATGAGAAAGTTTGAACAGGTGGATTCCTTTCTTCCTTCAAGATGCAGTAATAATTTCTTCCTAAAAAAATAATCCTAAAAATCACATAGGATGCACATAAATCTTACGTATTTACTGTATATCCCTAGTATATAACGCTATGATCCATAGCATTTCCATTAAAGAGCAGAGCACTAGAGGAAAATCTTCTTTCACATGCTCTCTCCCTCATGAAGCCAAATGCAACTTGGGATCTCTAATGGGGTGTTTTTTTCCCCCAAAAAAAATCTTTTCCAGATAAATTTATAGAGTTGCTCTTTCATTTCTCACAAAAACAAATGCACATAGAGACATTTAAAGAATTTTATTATATTCTGTCTGAGCAGTTTATTTACGTCAGTTTGAAACAGTCGTCCAATGTTTGGGTGTTTCCAATGGTCCAAAAAAAGGATAAAGAGACATTAAACAGCACAGTTGGTACGCAGTGGCTGGGTTTACCCTCCAAACTTAACCCGTAATGATTGATCGGCATTTATTGTACAATGTGTTGAGCTAGGTATGTAACATAGTTTGAACCTTGGCTTCCTTTTGATGCCTTAATGTGTTGTGCAGATCCTGCTTTTTTATTAGAGTGTATGTCACAGTTTGTTGCAAAAATCAACTCTAGGAAGCAAACAGATATCAGCAGGATTCATTAACTTCTTTATATACATAATAACACATGAATAAATGTACAATACCAACAGCAGATTCTTCCAATGTGGTAGAGAAGAGAGATTGTAAGCAGGTTCAAACACAGGCAGGCTATACAGAGAATGAGTTCCTTTTAGTTTCAGTTCAGAGTTAAGCCACACCCAGACTCCAAACTCTTTCAGCTCCCATTGGCTGACCTTGTTACTATGGAATGGAATGGAATTTATTATTTATATGCCGCCCTTCTCCGGGAGGACTCAGGGCGGCGAACAAT